TACCTTTACATGACAGATCTTGGTTCTCATTTTTTCCCCTTGTCCCTGTCCTCCCTTCACCCGCTCCTCCCTCCCCATTTACAAACACTTTATTTCCATCTTTTCATTTTCTCACATTTTTTTCTTTTCCCTTATTACCCTTCCCCTACCCATTGCATCTTCCCTACACCTTTAGCCCCTTGCTACCCATCTCACAATGTCAGGTATCTCATTAGGATTTTATGTACTATTACAGTTTATTCACACCAGAGAAACTATTAGGTATTTACACGTGTGTGACTTATTTATTTCACTTAGGAGCATATCCTCAATATGTATCTATTTTCCTATGAATTAATCTAATTCCTCATTCTGAGTAATATTCCATTTTATAGAAAAACAACATCTTCTTTATCCAGTCTCCAACTGATGGGCAAATGGGCTGTTTCCAAGTTTTAGCTATTACAAACTGTGCTGCTATAAACATGAGTGCGCATACATCACTGTGATATGATTCTTTTAGTTCTTTTGGAAAGATACCCAGCAGAGGGATGGCTGGGTCAAAAGGAACCTTTGGTCCATGCTCTTTGAGGTATCTCCATATTGATTTCCATAGTGGTTGTACCAGTCTGCACTCCCACCAACAATGGAGAAGGGTTGCTTTCTCCCCACAACCCTGCCAACATTTGTTATTGTTTGATTTCTTGATTGCAGCTGTTCTTTGTGGAGTGATGTGAAATCTCAGTGTTGTTTTCATCTGCATCTCTCGAATGACCAGTGATGTGGAACATTTTTCATATATTTACTTGTTGCTTTTACTTCTTTGTCTGTGAAATATCTGTTCATTTCAGATGCTCATTTTTGAATTGGGTCTTTATCTTTGGGGGCAGTGACTGATTGTTTTGAGTTCTTTATATATTCTAGATAAGAGTCCTTTGAGGAGCAGCTGGTAAAATTTTTTTCCCACCTTATAGGTTGTCTCTTAGTTCTGCTGATGGTTTCTTTTGCAGTGTGGAAGCTTTTTAATAAGATGAGATCCCAGTTGTTGATTCTTTCTGCTAGTTCCCGTGCTACTGAGGATTTGTTCATAAAGTCATTTCCTATGTCAATGTCTTTGAGAGTTCTGCCTAACTTATCTTCGAGCAGGTTTGGTGCTTCTGTTTTAATATTTAGATCTTTCATCCACTTGGATTTTAATTTAGTGCACGGTGAAAGATAAGGGTCCAGTTTTAATCTGTGGCAGGTTGAAATCCAGTTTTTCCAACACCATTTATTAAAGAGGCTATCTTTCCTCCACTGAGGGTGGTCAGCTCCTTTGTCAAAGGTGAGGTTCAGCTACCTCATCTTTGACAAAGAAACCAACCATCCTCACTGGAGGAAAGATAGGCTCTTTAATAAATGGTGTCAGAAAAACTGGCTTTTATCTTGTCAAAGATTAAAACTACATCCCTATCTTTCACCATGCACTAAACAAAAATCCAAGTGGATGAAAGATCTAAATACAAAAACAGAAACACTAAACTTACAGGCAAATAAATTAGGTAGAACTCTCAAAGACATTGGCATAGGAAATGACTTTATGAAGAAATACTCAGCAGCAGATGAAACTTGCACAAAGAATCAACATCTGGGATGTCTTTGTATTAAAATGTTTTTGTAGTGCAAGAGAAATGACCAACATAGGTAAGAGGCAACCTACAATGTGGGAAAATATTTTTACCAACTACTCCTAAGACACAAGACTACAATCTAGAATATATAAAGAACTAAAAAAAAATCAGATCCCCCAAATACAAAGACCTGATTAAAAATGGGCAACTGAAATGAACAGACATTTCTCAGACAAAGAAGTAAAAGCAGCAAATAAATATATGAAAAAAAAGTTCAACATCACTTGTCATTCCAGAGATACAAATGAAAACAATGCTGAGATTCCAATTTAGCCCAGAAAGAATGGCTACTATCAAGAAATCAACCAATAACAAATGCTATTGGGCTTGTGGGAGAAAGGAACCTTTCTCTACTGTTGGTGGGACTGCAGACTGGTGCAACCACTGTGGAAATCAATATGGAGATACTACAAAGAACTAGGATTAGAAGTCCTATTTCACCCTGCTATTCTTCTGCTGGATATCTTTCCAAAAGAATTAAAAGAATCACACCACAGTGATATATGCACACCCATGTTTATAGCAGCACAGTTTGTAATAGCTAAAACTTGGAAACAACCCAAATGTCCATCAGGCCTGGAAAAACAAGATGTGTTTTTTCTGTAAAATGGAGTACTACTCAGCCATTAGGAACAAGAAACCAGAGACATTTGCTGATAATGGGATGAACATTGAGGCTATTATGTGAAATGGCACTATTATGTGAAATGAATGGCACACACGAGTAAATACCAAAAAGTTTGTCTGGTGTGAAAAACTAAAAGTGTAAATAAGCTTCAAATTGTATACTTGATAGTGTAAAATAGGAAGAAAACAGCTAAAGGTGAAGATGGAAGGGAATGGGAAAGGAAATAAGGGAAAAGAAAAAATGTGAAAAAAGGAAAAAATGGCAAAAAAAAAGTCTTCATAAATACTGAAGGGTGAAGGGTTGGAGTGCAGCAGTATGGGGGAAAATAAGAATGAAGACATATCATGTAAAATTACAATATCCCAATTATAAATGTAACCATATTGTTTGCTTTAAATGTACCAATAAACATAACAAAGTATTTTTCTGATAGACTGCCAAGTACAATTAATCCACAGTGTACTTGACCAAGGAGTGTGACCATATATGATGATCTGGGCTCTTTATGTTTCTTTTTAAACAATTTCAGATGCACTTGATATCATTGCTGGGTATAGGAAATCTGGAATTGCATTATTAGATAAAGAAGAGATTCTTGCTCTACAAGAATTAATCATAATAAATTAATTTTTTCCATATTGATTGTAGTGTTTATAATAGTAGTACAAAACTATCTAGGGCTTAAAACCATATTTGCATTTTTAAATGCATATTTAAGCTTGTTGGAAATTCAGTATGGTATGATATTGTCTGATTCAGAGGTAAGAATCCCTCATACGAAATGTACTTTCCTTTTGCATATTATTTGCAGGGCAAAATTTCCTCTTTTATAATGATCTGCTTTATGACAAAAAATCCATAAATTATATGATAAAAACCAAAAGGGGTTCTATAATCCAGATGCAAACTTTGTAACTATCTCCAGCATCACCATCAGTTTCACCTTTTGCATTACACTGTAGTTGCAATGAAGCTGGTTATATTCTCCAATTTAAAAAGGGTTAATCTGTTTTTTCTTTTGCCTAACTCTGAGAAGCTTAGAGTTAAATGCCATCACCAGGTACATAACCAATTAGAACCTGGGGACACTAAGGTGGAATCCCTATCCCCCATATCCTTCTCCAGCTCAATATATTCCAGAATCATTTCTAAACTAATTATTCAGCTTTCATTTCAGATTTTTTCACTTTAAATCTCTTCTGTACTTCCTTCATCTTTTCTTACTTCAATGATCAAAACCTAAAAGGAAAGGAAAAGTATGATTGAGACTTGTGTGATAAAGATGGAGAAAGAGGAAGGCGGACTAGGTAAGATAGTATCTCCAGCTCAATATATTCCAGAATCATTTCTAAACTAATTATTCAGCTTTCATTTCAGATTTTTTCACTTTAAATCTCTTCTGTACTTCCTTCATCTTTTCTTACTTCAATGATCAAAACCTAAAAGGAAAGGAAAAGTATGATTGAGACTTGTGTGATAAAGATGGAGAAAGAGGAAGGCGGACTAGGTAAGATAGTAGAATAATACTTCATTTCATGCGTGCATACACACACACACACACACACACACACACACACACACACCACTTCGTGTATCATATAAATACAGTTTTGAAAGTTTTTGTAGGTGAATATATAAGTACAACTAAAGTTATAAAATGAATACGTCAGAGGGTATGTGTGTAGTTTATACCGAGAAACAAACTCTTTGTATGTTTACAACTACCATCTATTTTTCCTACTAAAAATATTCTGTTGTCTCTCATCTGTGATGTGAGTGAATTTATCTACCTTGTAGGGATACAGAGACTTGAAAAGAAGGGATGATGTACAACACAGAGAAAATCCATGTTGTAAACTTTTGTTTTCCATTCTATAATGTACACCTTAGTGGTATTTAGGAAAGATTTCTTGTTGGGTTTTAAGCAGATACAGGAGCATGGCCGAGCGTTCTCCTGAACATTTATTTGCTTTTCCAGGTGGCATTGTGTGCATCAAGGGCTTTTTACTGAAGGACAGAGAAAATGTGTGTGGCCACATGCTGACATTTTCAAAACATACTCTAAAACAATTTAAAAAATTGTCATATACATTGTGAATTTTAGTTAGAGAATTCTAAACTCCAACATGATACTTTTTAAAACGTGAAAGGTGAAACTATGAGAAAAATGTCATCTTAACTTGCTTTTAATATTTTGGTATGTTTCCACCCAAATTTT